CGTTGAGAAGTGTCAGTATTCTTTGAACTCCTGACAGGTGGGATTAAAACTCAATCCTGTTTTTTGTTGGATATTTTATTGTGTTTCTTCTTTTTTTTCTTTTATTTTTCGTTTGTTTATTTGTGAGTTTGATATTCTGTTCCATTCCGAGGCTCAGTCGTGAGGGACGTCATCTGCTGGAAATACGCGACTAATGCAGTGTCTTTTTCTTTTCTTTTTTTAACACGTCATTTGTCGCCTGATCTCTGTACCCCCCATTCCTGAGCGCGGATATCTGGCCCTCAAGCTGCCATATATATGCCTGGATGAAACTTATTTTGTGCGTATTTTTCGTTATGGTTATGTTAATGGATTAATTTTTATGGCGCTATTTTATACCAATATTCATTTTGTTTGATTCTTAATTATTTTTTGATATTCAATAAATCTGTTTCTGGCTCTTCTAGTAGTTTGAATTAGCTGAGTAGACGTACGGCCATAGAGAATAGGATCATCTAAGATCTGACTTCTACTGATGGTGTTAGTTATGCCAACATACTACAGAAAAAATATGAATTAGAATAAATAACCTACAGCACAAGATATGTAACTGAAACGTTTCGTTGGTTTCTGCTTCAGAAATGATTGTATTTCTAACGAAAATACAATCGAAAGCTATGAAGTTATTCCCTCTCATTCGAACCTTTCCAGCTGAGCCGAAAGATTCCCGTTTTCAGGTGATGGTGTCTGCTCTTGGTAATGCCTTAGGCTTTCAAACCTTATGAAATGTTCTATCTTTGGTCTGTTGGATGACACTTCTATGCAAATGTTATGTAGGTCCACGCATTACTTCTTAATTGGTTTACCTACTTATTTTACTCAGTTCATTCAAACTGTAAATATTGTACACAATAAATCAAAACAATTACGTGTATATTTGAATAACTCAGAGTATCCTTATTCAAATAAAGTATTAAGATCTCTATGAGAATTAGTTTGTCGAATGCACTAGACTGTTGAAAGGATAGACGAGTAAATAAACAGACACAGAAATATGGAACACAAGTGTCACTTTCACTGTGAAATTCCAAGGAAAGAAAAACAACGCTTCTTCTGTGGAGATTTAATACTATATGATATTGATGTTATATATATACGCCGTAACAGCTGATATGAAATATTTGGTGATGACAGTAGTAATAATGATAATTAGTAGTAATCATATTGATAATAAAAATAATAACGATAGTGATAAAAGTAATGGTAGTAGTAGTAGTAGTGGTGGTGGTAGTAGTAGCGGTAGTAGTGATACTAATATTCATTACGTAAATAACAGTAATGATAATGATGATAAATCATCAGTATCGTCATGATAATGATAACTATGAAAACAAAAATTAGTGATAATGATAATATGATAAGAATGAGTTATAAGAGCAATGATAATGTTGATAAAAATAACAATAGTGATAATAATAATAATTATTATGATAATAATAATAATGATAACAGTAACAACAACATAATAACAAAGCATCAATAATAATAATAATGTAAAAAATAATAACAATAGTAGCAATTATAATCATGACAATGATAATACTTAATATGCATATTTAATGATGACGATAGATTGGTAATAATTATGATACCAACAGTAATGGTAATGATGATAGCAATAACAACATTATAATAACATTATCAAATGATGCAGAACAAAAAAACAAGAAAAATATCAATGGTTACCTCATGATGATTATGAATATGAGACTAGATAATGATGATGACGATGATGATTATGATAATATCTCTCTGTCTGTCTGTCTGTCTGTCTGTCTGACTGTCTCTCTCTCTCTCTCTCTCTCTCTCTCTCTCTCTCTCTCTCTCTCTCTCTCTATATATATATATATATATATATATATATACATACACACATATATGTGTGTGTGTGTGTGTGTGTGTATGTGTGTGTGTGTGTGTGTATACATATATATATAAACACAAAATACATATCTACATATGTGTGTATTGTCTGTGTATGCATGTGTGTATGTGTGTGTGTGTGTGTACACACACAAATGATATATATATATATATATATATATATATATATATATATACATATATATATATATATATATATATATATATATATATATATATATTATAATATATATATATATATATATATATATATATATATTATATATATATATCATCATCATGGGGGCTGACGCCGACGGGGGCGCATAGCCGCATCCACCCTTCGCTTCCACCTACGAGGATCCCTCATGGCTAGACGCCAGGCAGGGACTCGGCCCATCTCTAGTTCTTCACGGCAGGTTTGGTCGATCTGCCCAAGCCATGACTTCCTCGGTCGTCCCACAGGCCTCCTCCACCCAGGGTTGTCTCGAATAGAGACGACCTGATGGGCAGGATCATCCTGAGGAAAGCGAGCCAGGTGGCCGTATAGCCTGAGTTGGCGATCACGGATTGTGCAGATAACAGGGCTTGTGCCAGTCTCACGGTGCAACCGTTGGTTGGACACATGGTCCCGCCAACAGTACCCCATGATCTGGCGCAAGGACCTATTGCAAAAGGCTTCAAGACGAGCCTCCAAGGCACAGGACAATGTCCAGGTTTCGCTACCGTATAGCAAAACTGGCATTATCAGGGCCTTGAAAACCCGTAGCTTGGTCCTTCTGCACAGGTACCGACATCTCCAAATACTCTTGTTGAGAGAGTTCATGACCCCTGCTGCCAGGCCAATCCGTCTGCTGACTTCATGGTCTGACAGCCCAGAGTTATGAACTACACTACCAAGGTATGTAAAGCTCTCTGTGACTTCAATGTCCTCGCCGCAAGCACGTACCGACTGAACAGGTTCTCCTAACAAGTCCCCAAATTCCTGGACCTTGGTCTTGGTCCAGGAGACCCAGGGGCTTCGCTTCATTGCTAAATGCATCGAGAGCCGCCACTAGGGTTTCCAAAGACTCAGATAGAATGGCAACGTCATCAGCAAAGTCAAGGTCTGTAACCTTGATATTGCCCAGCGTTGCCCCACAATGACTTTGAACAGTAGCTCTGCCCAGTATCCAGTCCATGCAAGTGTTGAAAAGAGTTGGTGCAAGGACACAGCCTTGCCTCACTCCTGAACTAACAGGAAAGAAGCTCGACAGGCCCCCACCACACTTTACAGCACTTTCAGTACCAGTATACAGGCTTGCTATTAGTCCAATAATCCTTGTTGGTATTCCTCTCAGCCTCAGGATCTCCCAAAGTGACTCCCGATGCACCGTATCGAACGCCTTCTTGAGGTCGATGTAGGCTGCAAGCAGCCCACGCCCGAACTCACGACGGCGCTCTACAATGACTCGAAGCGCGAGGATACGGTCTATTGTGGACTTACCAGGAGTGAATCCGGATTGCTCCAGTCTCTGGTGCCTCAGTAGATGGTCTCTGATACGTCTCAGAAGGATGTGGGCGAGAACCTTGCCTGGTACACTGAGCAGTGTGATGCCTCGGTGATTGCTGCAGTCCCAACGGTCCCCCTTCCCCTTCCAGAGAGGGATGACCACACCCCTCAACAGGTCAGGAGGAACGGAACCGGACTGCCAGATGGCAGCCAGGACAGCATGTAACCCCCGTGCCATAGGTTCACCACCAGCCTTTAACAGTTCAGCTGGTATGCCGCAGATACCAGCTGCTTTACCACTCTTCAGCTTGGAAATCGCCCCTAACTTCAGTTAGGGAGGGAGGGTCCTCACTGATAGGTGGATTCGGCAGCGGGATCTCGACACTACCCGCATCCAAGTTAACTGTTGGTGGGTCAACCTGGTACAGCTGCTCAAAATACTCAGCCCAACGTCCCCGCACCGCAACAGGATCTGAAACGATCTGACCACTTACTGAGCGAACTGCTGTCACCTGTGAAGAGGGCTTGGAGTTCAGCTTCTCAGGGCTTGGTATGCAGGACGAAGGTCATTTACTAAGAAATGGCCTTCTACCTCCTCTGCAAGACTCCTAATAAACTGTTCCTTGTCCCTTCTTAACAGGGACCGAGTTCTGCGCACATGAGAACGGTGCAATTCCCGATCCCCTGTCAGACGAGCCGCACGACATGCATCTGTGGCTTCCAGTGTCTCCGCGAGATGGAATTCTGTACTGCTCTCGGGCGTACACCAATCGTATCTTGAGCTGCATCAAGCGTTTCACGCTTAAAGGTATCCCACAGAAGAACAGGGTCTGTCAGACTGCCAAGCACTGCGAAACGATCAGAGATTGCCTCAGCAAACCGCGGGCACACTCCCCCTCCCTCAGCCTGTCCAAATGAAACACCCTAGGGTGATCATTTGACCGCTGGGGGTTTTGAAGTGGACCCGGAGGGTAGCCACAACCAATCTATGGTCAGTACCACAGAACTCAGCACTCCTGTACACCCTGCAATTCTGAAGGATCCTCCAACGAGTGCTAACAAGTATGTGGTCGATCTCCTTGGCTGCGTTATATATATATGCATATATATATGTATATATATGTATATATATATATATATATGTATGTATGTATATGTATGTGTGTGTGTGTGTGTGTGTGTGTGTGTGTGTGTGTGTGTGTATGTGTGTGTGTGTGTGTGTGTGTGTGTGCGTGTATTTGTATATATATATATATATATATATATATATATATATATATATATATATATATATATATGCATATCTATATATATTCATGTATATTTATATCTATAATATGTGTGTGTGTGTGTTCGGGAATTCAATGGGGGGAGAGTTGTCAAGAGTTTATCTGTCACATTCCTTTTCAAACGGAATCACTGCTTTGCTCCCATACACAAATATGTTAAGTCGTGTGTTGCCCTGTTATTGGAGATTATAATGTTGTAAAAGTGGAGTAACATAATCATGAAATCCATACATATTGATGGTATACGACTGAATCGCTGCCTCGCTCTCATGCACAGAGAGAGAGATCGGTTGATGGCATGAGGCGATGCCATACACCATGATTCAATGAAGGAGACAGTTCCGGCAGTGTCAAGAATTAGAATAAGGTGTTACATTCCTCCTTTTGCAGCAACTCGTGTACATGATCCCAAGTAGATTTGGCTTAGCGAGACATGACTCATTTCTAGAGAGGCTCAAAAGTGAAGAGGTCAGCCTTGTCAATTACCTCTTCGATACAATATATATATATATATATATATATATATATATATATATATATATATATATATATATATATATATATATATATATATACACAGACACACACACCTATATATATTGTTTTATAAAGACAATTAAACTCGTGATGCACAAGAAAAATTGTTGGTGTCTCCTTCAGAAACAAGTTGAAATGGGTCAGATTAGGTAAAATGTACTCCAAGAGTTTAAGTATAAAGTACAGAAGGGTCGTTGAGATCTTTTAGAATCAGCCCTACAGTTCTTAATTTCTTATTTACTTCAGTGTTGGTAAAATATTGCTGGAGAGCATCTCATTGTTCTAGAATCCTCTGTACCGCGTTATTGAGAGACAACCAACAGGTCTGACATGGGTGGAGAATTTTATGTGGTTTTACATCCAGCAAAGCCTGAAATTTTTAAATTGGTGTTTACTTTTGGCGTTATGTGCAAAATGAGTATAAATGTTTCTGATAACATCTTCCCAATGTCTTTTTTCGCCGCTTCTTATTTATGCTCTCCCATGATATTTGATGCTCCATCTGCAGCAAAGCATATGGTATCAAATAGTGACTGGCCAGTAGAACTAGTTATTTCAATGTCTCCAAAAAATATTTACCAAGTCCTACATTCAACGCTTTATGGCTGTCACATCTCCAGAGAAAGTTTTCCGACATTTGGTGCAGAAGGGCTTCGTTCGGGTCATTTGCCACCTTCGCCAACCAGGGCCTAAAGGGTACCGTCTGCTTTTTTTTTCGATTTTTCGATTTTTCCTGCCGATTTTGATGAAACACACCCTTTTATTTGGGCCCCTTCCCATTGCCTGTGATCGATTGTTTTCGAAATCGCGTGAACAATTTTTGAATTATTGTCAAAAAACCGAAATTCTTCAAAAAATAAAATCTGAAAATGCAGCGAGGGGCGCCAATCCTCCCGTCTTCAAAAACGGTAAAACATTCAATTTTATTTTATTTTTGCACAGAACTCCCTTATAGTACAACTTGTTCGAAAGCGTTTTTTCGATTTTGACTTCATATTTTTTTGTGAATTTTTGAAGGAGGGGACTTCAAGAAAAAAAAGGTAGAAATTTTCTTACATTGACCACTTTTACAAAAGGTACAGGCAAAAATTGCGAAAACGCTCTCGAACAAGTTGTAGATATTTTATTTTTCTACAAAATGAGCCATAACATGTTAATTTTGGACATAAATTGCGCCCGTGAGGATTCCCCCCCTCCCCTAACAGTGGAGTTCCGAGATATCGGCATTTTACGTTTTCTTCATCTTTCCAAGGCTATCTTGGTATCAACAAAACAAGGTATATTAGTCTTCCTACACCATAATCCTCTATCATCTACCTGTATTCCGAAGTCTTGCGGACATTGCCAGCACGTACCGGTTTCTCAAAATCTTACATATAGTGCAGAGTGGTGGCAGTAATCTGGGGGTCTATAGGCCTACATTGACCATTTTTAAAAATTTCTCAAACATCCAAAAAAAAAAAAAAAAAAAAAAAATCATGCAGCCATTCTGATTTCATGTCTCTAATATTATATGCAGAAGCCATTTTTGTGAAGTTGACCTTACTTTTCTTTTGGTGAATATTTTCCGGTGACTATTTTAACACCTAATAAGAGATTTTGAAAACATATGTCACTTTTACAAGAACCACATGAAAATATTACAAATCCTTATGACAGCATGTAATAGAACTATTATTCAGCTACAAAATGAGCCATAATACTTTACAATCGGACCTAAAATACGTGTGCTGTGCGTAAAAATGTGAAGGACCTAATAATCGCTTTTTCCTTTTTATGTTCACATTTTACATGACAAATCATGTACAGAATAATTGTATTTGATATTATTATCTATCATTTACCTATTATTGATGCTCTAATGGGGTTTTACAACGTATAATATTTGTCGAAAGAATAACTGTTCTCCAGTCGGATGGGTACCAAACGCATATTTTTCCCCGCGCGTGGACCATGAAAATCGTCTTTTTAAATCTGCGGAATAACTCTACGGGGTCACGTAGCCAAATTTCACTATCAGACCCCGTGGAAAGACGAAAAACAATTACATGGCGATGTGAAAGTATGTATAAAAGGTATATGAGCACATATAGATCATTTTCGTGTACCCCATGACTTTTTGTCTATTGATATTGTTACTTCCGTTTGTTTCTTTGTTTGTTTGTTGATTGTTTATTTGTTTTTTTGTTTGTTAGTTTGTTTTCTAATGTTTCAAAAAATTATGAACACATTTTAATGAGATTTTAACCAAAGGTGAGTTTTAACCTAACTTAGACGTTT